AGTGCCAAGCGCTTGTTTGCGCCACATGTCCACAGCGGTCGAGCGATTATTGCAGACGGAGAGATTTTTCGGTGGGTGTGTTGGGGGGAGCGAGTGGCAGTTGCTGGAAATGTTGGTCACACATACACACCACACACACACACTCACACACATATGTGAAAGGTATTAGGGCGCACGTTATGGGGCTCATTGAATGTGTCGCAAAAGATTTAATGGAGCATGGCGCCTGGTCATAGGTGAAATATGCAATAGAAATGTGTTTAAGCAGCAGCAGGAGCATCAGCAGCAGGACATGGACCCCGATGACCGCTGGCCAAACACACAATAAATCATAAATGTGTCCGGTACGCTGGCATTTGGTTTATTGATATTGTAGTCATAGTATTACATGTCCTTGTTTATCCTGTCGCTAGCCCTTAAGACCACCCTCCTATATATAAATATTAATCAGATTTTGTTATATATATATATGGATATATTGATCATGTGGGCAAAAGTTTTTGCACAGCTTATTGACTTGCAGCTATGCTACGCACAGAAAAGTTTTCAGCAATTTGCTGAAGGATGTGCTGTCAAAAGTCCTGTCCCTGGCCAAATTATGTTAATTTGTCAGAGATAGTTCAGTAAACTTTGTAGCTGCTGCTCGATAAATAAAAAAAAGAAGAAAACTTGACTCTCATAACTAATGCAAGGATAGTTATTAGGGCCTTTGACGCTGGCTTGCAGATTAAGTATACGAAATGGCAGCCAAGCGGAAATTGTCGCTTCCTGGCTGCTTTTGCCGCATGCCACATGGGCCACATATCAAATCGCATTTGAGGCGTTTAGCTGCGACGAAAAACGAGTGCAACAAATCAACAAAGTGAATGCTGAGTGGTTGGCCTGGCCAGTTAGCTGCTTGACAAATTGCCACTAAGCTTTAGGGCCAACGGGGCGTCTGGCCTGGGCTGGGTGTTGGGCGGTTCGGCAAGACGTTGTTTATTTGGTTTTCATGTCGCGCATGTTAAATGCAAATTATTCAAAATGCCTGCGAAACCCGCTAGGGCCAGGGCCCAGCCCGCCCTCCGCGCACAGGCACACACATTCGCACATTCGCACATATCCTGCACGTTGACCTTTTTGAAATCCGGCAACACCGTCATTGGAGCGTGTAATTTGTGACATTTTGTTTTGCTCAGCTACGTTTTAACAAATAAGCTTCACGCGATTATGCAAATTTCTAAATGCTGTTCACTCGCTCTTAACTACAATGCAGCATTGAGCTCTGGCTCCGGTTCTGGCTCTGATTCTGGCCCAGTTTCGGGGCGAGCCCCACGAAAGGTCACCTATCCCTAGCTCTTCCTTTTTGTCGCTGCCGTCTGGCAACACAAAGCATTGTATGAATAAATTAGATTTCACTTATTGTATGAGTGGCATGCAATAAGAACTTTAAGTGAACTTTGAGCTAATGGCATAAAGCGCCAAAGGGAGAGATTTAAGATTTAAATGTTTCACATTTTCCTAAAACCAGATCTGGCTTATGCAGATGAGTACGAAATAGTTGCCTTTGATTGAGATTGATGAAATAATATGCTAAAATATATGCATACCAAATTTCAATAGCGCAACTTGATAATTGTGGTTGATATTCGTCAGATTTAAAATTTATTTAAAAGAAGTGTAAAGGAAGCTACGCAAAGGATATGTCAGCTAGAGCTTGTCTAGTTGCTGGGTTCCTTGGGCTAGTATGTTATCTCGAATTCTCTGTCTTTTTCTGAATCTCTCTCTCTGATTGATTCTATTTGTACAGATTTCGAGCGCGTTTTTGTTTTCATAGTTCTTAAATAAGCTAGTAGAGAATATTATTCACTATCTTAAATGCACCTTTAAGAGGATAAGTGGGACAAACAAATTTGATAACTAAAGCTTTTCTAGTTGCTGAGCTCCTTGGGTAAACATGGCGAATTGCTGGAAATTCAACTGCAATGTTAACTTGACAGATATTTCTTGACACTTTGAATGTTTGCCTGTACTGTAACCAGCATATGCGCATTTATAAAGCTCGATTTGCTTTAAAAACAAACTTCTAAAGTAAATTGTTTGTTTTAATAATGCCAGTCTGTCATTTAAGCGTAAGCTCTTGTGAACCGCAAACGTGCCTGCATCATATAAGTCGACCAGGGCCATGTATGTGTATTATGTGCATTTGATATATTTCTTAATAAAAATATCACGCAAGTCCAAACAATGCCACATGGACCCAGCTGCTGCGGGCGTGGCAGAAGGCGGGCGACTCATGTGTCAACGGCTGAAATGAGAAATGATCAAAGTGAGTGTTTGGCTGGAAAAGTGCAGATGCTGCAACAAACAGCAGCTGTTGCCCACACAGAGAGTGTGTACGTGTGGTTGAGGGTGTTTTTGCGTGTGTGGGGATACATGCAGTTGTCCTAGGGTGCCAACTGGGACATCATCAGTTGCTACTTGTAATATACAGCAGATTCAAGCAGCTGTGTGCCATGTCCACTCAGTTAATGCGCTGCAAAACTGCAACTGCAGCAGGGCAGAAGCTCATCTGCTGCAGAAAAAGTAATCAGCAAGTCAACTGGGAGTAAATATGTGTGTATGCGTGCGCTTTGCCAAGTAATTAGTTGCTTGTGCATTGATTTTAACGCGACGGCGCCTGCTGCCGCCGTCTAATTCGGCTTGACAAATTGTTAATACGTCAAAGCGCTGACAACAACTATAGCAACAGCAGCAACAAAAACAACAAGAATAACAGAAACAACAACAGGCAGTTGAAATAATAAAGAATAAAGCTATATAGCGATTGATGACAAAGTTGTCGCCGTCGGCTGAAGCCAAGAGAATTTATGGTAATAAAAGCCGTAGACATGGCTTTGTCTGTAAGCAGGCGCGATTGTGTGCGCGTGTGTGTGTGTGTGAGTGTTCTTGTCTAAAATACTCCTTGATTAAGAGCAGGCGTGTGTGAGTGTGGTGTATATGTGTGTGCAGACACAGCTCATTGGCATAAGGCGCCAGGGCACGCCTCGTCAGCATTCAGAGAAATCATAAAATACGTATACGCCGCGTATGCCAGGCGCATAAATCATTTTAACACCAAAGCGAGAGCCCGCACAATTGCCATCACATTTGGCACTGGGCACCTGCTCGTGTATTTACATACAAATTGCCACTCAGCCCCTCCACGCCCATCACACCCCCTACTTTCTACACACGCACTCAGTGCTCCTCTTATATAGCCGCAAAACATTCGCGACTGTTTATAACACTCGAAGCAATTACTTAAACGCAAATGATGCGAGCACTTGCCTCGCGACTTTTTGAATGGTGTCGTCAGTTTATTTAGAAGGTATATATAGCCGCACTCATATACTTGTGTGTATGTGTGCATGCCTGTATGCCTGAGTGTGCTCGTGTGTGTGTATTTAAACACTTTTTATCTTTTTGGTTCAGCGTACTAAAATGGGATATTAAGATATTAAGTTGCTCGCTTAAATAAATAAGAAAGAGTCGGTGGCAAGCCTTAAGAAATGCTTATTTACACATTTAAGTAGGTTTTTAGTTGGGGACAGAAGTCGAATAAAAAGTAGAGTATAAGTGATTAATATTAAAACAGTTTTTTTTAATAAAAATAATAAAAAATGATTTTAGAATAAAAATAAATATATTTTTTAAAAAATATATTAATAGAAAATATTTTTTTATTTTAAGTTTCTGATTGAATAACAGTTGAATAGAATAATAATAATACTTTAGAGAACTATATGATTATTTGAAAATAAAATAAAATTAATAAATACCTAACTTTCTTTAAAATAAAATATTCCTCTAATATCCTGAATAAAATATTTGTATAATTATTATTTAATTTAAATCAATTAAAATACCTTTTCAAGTACTTTGACGTATATTAAGATATATTTATCAAATATATTCACTGCATAATTTCAAAGCCCTTTTTACTTCAGTTAACAGACAGTCGAAATGAAAATGAAGCATTTGCGTGCTCATGATATTAATTTCAATGCCAAATGGCAATAGGAATTGATGTAAACGGTACACAATGTTCACAAATTTACAAGCCATCTGAGCAGCATTGATGTCTTTTGCATCTGGTATTTGTCGGGTAAAGAAGAAGCACAAAATAATAGAATTGGTCAAAATAAAGAACGCGATAAAATCAAGCGGGCGGCTAGCTGGCAACACAGAGGGTCATTAATTAAAATGCAGATGCTACAATTCGCAATTATTTTTACTAGTAAGACATTGAAATGGCTTTTTTGCGGTTAATCATTGAATGTCTTTACTGTAGCACAGTAGACTAATAAATGCTTAATTATGGGGCAGAGCTGTCATTAAACCCAATTCAATTGAGAAAGTGGTCTCAGTTTTGAGCCGCAGCTAGCCTACGATATTTTTCGCCTGCTCTTGTGCATAATTATTTTAATAAGGTCGACCTATTTCGGTTCTGCCAGGTTTCTGCTCTGCCTTGCACATTTTTTATACTTTTTTGACACCACTTTTTTTTTGTGTCGCTGCAAATTTTAATATTTTTTGCATATCTGTTTTTTTGATAGAGCAATTTGTGCAGTTCCATGGCAAAATTTAATTTGTTTTTTGCACTTCCTAGAGGCGTTTGTGTGTCATGCATTTTTACACCTTAATTTGCAGCTAATTTGCATTTATATATGAGTATTCGCGCGTGTTGCGCAATTTCAGTTGCATTTGCGTTGTCTTCGTCTTTATTTTGCCTTTGCTCGCTCTCTTTATAACTTATTTTCTGCCATGTGGAAATTGTTTAACTGGCGGCTATACGAATTCAGCGAATGCAAATGTAAATTTTCTTTTAAATTGCCGTAAATATACCAACTTTTATCTGAGAAATAGTGAAGATATAATTTTGTATTTGCTCGATAAGTTTACCAGCTATTTTATTTTTTTCATATTTTCCAATCGATAAAATACCAGGCATAGTTTAGACATTTGACTAATTTATTAATGTTTATCCGAATTGAACAACAATATTGAATTATATTACAAATAATTTCTGTAATACACTCTACATAGAATTGAAATACTCACTTGACAGATTATGTACAATCAAATATAAGTAATAACTTAATTAATTGCATACAATTTCGAACGGAACGGAATTATTTAATTAGGCTACATTAAAACATTAATCTTAAGTCGTTAACCTAGAACTGAACCGCATCGAATTGTGTTTTTACTCTTTTTGTACTTGACGATTTTTTGAAAAATGCTTATTTTAATGAAAATTGGTTCGAAAAGATGGCGTACTTTCTGGCGTTTCATTTAAGACTAGCTAATACCATACACAAACACGTGGGTGGGTCCAAAAAAAATGGTTTCCTTTTGATCGCAGGACGGCAAACGGCAAGCTACTGTCGATAATACGTAATGCAAACCCCAAATTTAAGTACAGTCAGAAGCCTCGCCTTAGAGACACCCATTGCCCCAGCAGCCGCACCAGGGTATCTTGCCGCCCGTATGGGAGCTTATAGAGATCTTGCGCCGATTAGAACGCATGCTGAAGCTGGTCGAGGATTCGCGCGAGGATCCAAAACTATTCGAATTGCGATCGGATTGGGAGGTGACCGTCTCATGGTTGCTGTCCTGATGGGAATGGTGGCTATGATGCGGATTGCTGTTGATCAGGCTGCTGTGCTGATGGTGGTGCGTGTGGTGATGATGATGACCACCAGCACCACCGCTCGAGTTGCTGATGCGATGCACACTGTGCACGGTGCCCTCCGAGTGGCGTCGCGAGCATTTTGTGCGGCTGACTGTGGCCGTCATGGGCGCCGGATCGCTGTTCTCCTTCCTGTGATGATGATGGTGTGTGGTGCTGGGCGGCGCTGAGGCTGTGCCCGTCACCTCACCATGCCCAGCTGTCATTGTGTTGCTGTTGGTGCGCCGCCGCGAGGAATGTGGAGAACTGGGCGTACTGTGGCTGATCTGCCTAAAGGCCTTAATGCTGGGATGGATGAGTACGCTGGCCGCGGCGCTGGTCAGGTCACCACAGCTGGCTGTTGCTGTAGGCGCAGTGGGTGCAACATCATTTACTACGGGCTGCTCATCGCCACACACAATGGAGACGCGGCGCGCTTTGCGCTTGGCCGCCTCCTCATCATCCTCCTCCTGGCTCAAAGAAACGAAAAAAATGGTGTAGCATCAAAGGGCAGAGAATAAAAGCTGAACCCACCTCGTTGGCTGCCGCAGAATCAGCTGTGCACTCCACATCCAGGGAACGCGTCAGCTGCGTTGGCGTCGACCGAAAGATGGCTCTTTTGGCTGCCGCCGTGGCCAGCGATTTGTACAGATGGCTTTTGTTCGGCGAAAGTCCAGCCGGCGGCTCTGGTGGCGGCTCTGTGGGAACGGCCGGACGTCGCGCTGGTGGCAGCGGCGGCGGCGGTTTGGCAGGCAGACTAGGCTTAACGCCTACAGGCGGCTTCTGGCCAGATGGGGACTGCTTCACGGCGACAGCCTGATTATTGAGCTGCTCGAAGCCCAGATAGCTGCACTTTTCCGGAAATGGCGCCATCGGATCCGGCATATGCGGCGCCGGACTGTCCGTGTGCTCGCGCTCCAGCGACCGAGTGCGACTCGATAGCTTGTGGCTGCTGCTCGAGTCGGATGCGTTGCTGGCAGCCACAGTAGATGTTGCTGCGTTCGAAATGGTCGGATTTGTGCCGTCGTATTGCAAATAGAGATTCATCTCGGAGCGATACGGTTTACTTTTGTCCTTGTCGTTTTTGCCATTTATAAGATTATCCCGCGATTTACTTTTCTCCAGCTGTATGGCCAGAATGTCGCCCGAAATTGTCTGTATATCGTTTAGCAATGACTCCAAGTTCACTGAATCCGTCTGGGGAAAAATTATAATTATATAAATTAATTAGCGAACTTTCAATATATTTGTTGAACAACACTAGAGCGCATTGGGTAAGCAATTTGTGGCGGGAATTATGATTTAATAATAAATAATTTTTGTTGTTTTTTAAGCAGTCCGATCAGCTGCAATAGATGACATCAAAAACTCTAATAAATGTGGGCTGAAAACATTCAAGGCTTTCAATAAGAACGATGGACTATTATATCCTTATATGCATAAAAGAGAATACGACAAATTAAATCAAACTTAATTTACGAGTAATATATAATATTCAATAACATTTATGAGGGTAAATAATACGGCTCTAAAATTTATTTATAAAAAGCTTTTATATATATTTATCTATAAAGACATTCAACATACAAATAAAATGAGGGTTTTTCAAATCAAATAGTCTTCAGTCGCGTAGATTAAATGAAGTGATCAAGTTATATAGAGTTACAGATTTCATGAAAAAAATTAGAAAACCTTAAAAAAGGGAATAAACCATATATATGTTTTCAACTCGAAACGAAAAACGATTGTGAAGTTCTAGATGCAAATTATGGGGAATATCTGTTGCTTAAATATTGTAGACACACACCGAAAATAAGCATAGGATAACATGATTTAAGAGAATTTTCCTTTATATCAGGACTATTCCACATCAATTACTGGAGTACACACATATTTGAATATTTCTAGAATTTTCATTAACTACAATGCAAATCATTGACTTATAGAAATGAAACTCTACAAACGATGAAACGAGGCGAGCATTACAAGCCGATGTCTGGTGGATGATCCCCGGCAGAATGCCCTCTCACCTGACTGCCAATATCCACGATGCTCGCTGTGGAGACCACCGCGGGAATTGTTTTGCAGCTGGCTGCACAAGCGGTAAGCTTTGCGGGCTGACGCAGCGGCGATGCGGTTGTCTTTGTGGTGTTTGTGGTGGCGGTCATCACTGGCTTGGTCAGGGCCGATATGCAGCTGCTGTGGCAGTCTTTTTGTGCGGTTGCGTAGACTGGCTCCACGGAGCGAATCAGGGTCAGTGGAGTTGGCGGTGCTGACGCTAATGCTGCTTGGGCAGCGGCAGCCGAAGCAGCAGCGGCTAGCGCAGCGGTATAAATGTCAACCACGCTGCCGCCGCAGGCGTTCGCCTCAGGACCGCCAACGCCCAAGCCGACGGCAGCGGCCACATTGACCACTGCCCGATGCAGCGAACAGTGCTGCGGTGCGGGCTCCCCCGGGAGGGGGAGCGGTGGCTGGAGCTGCTGGCAATGGCGCTGGCGTTGCTGATGGGCGTGCGCCTGGCAGGGCTGGCTGTGGTGCAGCTGGCAATGGGAGCGCGTGCGATGACGCGGACTTACTTGTGGTGAGAGCCGGGGGCCGGGCCGCTTGTACGGTGAGGCAAGCGCATTATTGACAAATATATCCGGGGGCTCACGCAACGGCGTTGCCGGCTCCATCGGCGGCGGCGGCGAGCCCGGCGGTAGTGCATCCTGTCCCCGATTGGCAAGCTCTGTGTTGAGCTTGAGGCGCGGCTTTATGGGCGCAAAGAAGTGCTTCGGGCTATTGAGCGCTTGCTGCGTGCCGTTTGTGGTTATGGCAACGGTCTCGATGATGCCGCCGCCGCCAGCTCCATTTGTGGTTGGCACATTCAGCGCTATCTTGGGCATGGTTTGCAGCGTGCTTGTGGGCACAAAGGTGGTTAGCGGCGGCGGCGGCGGTGGCGGTGAGCGTGACGGTGACGATGTATTCGAGTATTTGCGCTGCGAGAACGGCGACTGCAAATTGTAATCCCAGCCATTGGTATGCTTCATCGTATTTCCGGTGGTCGTGCTGGAGCTGGTGCCCAGCTCGGGCGTAGGCGTTAGCACTGCAAATAGACAAAAAATGTTTGTATATATACATATCAGTCTAACATTCGGGCACACAATGTTAACCGTCTCACCCGTATTGGCGCCCATGTGCTGGGACAGTATGTTCTCAAAGTAGGAGAGCGGAGGCACCATGGCCTGCAAATCGTTAAGCTGATTAGCCACCTGTTCTACGGGCGTTAGTGGGGTTAGTGGACCCACCAGGCTGGGCAGGGTGCTCTGCGAGCTATTGAGATCGGGCGTACAAATCATGAGATGATGCTCCGGCGTCTGCTGCGCCAGCTGCATTTCCGGATTGCTGAGTGTCTCCTCGGAAACCACAGACAGATGGTCAAAGTGCATGGCCTGGTTTTCCGGCTTGGTTGTCGAAGTGCTATCATTAGCCGCTTTGACGGTCGCCTCCTCGGGCGGCATCGACTGCTTGATAGACACACAGGAACCACGCTCCTGGCAGCACTCGTCGCTGCAGTGGCCATCGTCCTCGCAGCGACACGTATCACATGAGTCAGAGTCCTGTGCTTGAGGAGGTGGGAACTTAAGTACATACAGGGTATCTGCTGACTGGGCTTCAACTCACATCACTGTTTCCATCACAACCTGCGCTGCCTCTGCTGCCGCTGCAGCGTCGCCCGCTGCTACCGCTGCCGCGACATCCGCCGTACTCGTGCTCACTTAGCTTCGCCTTAAAGCGCTTGTTTAACCGATCGCATTCGTCGCGCAGAGTCCAGATCTCGCGACGCAGCTGCTCATTTTCACGGCGCAAACGTTTGATATCCGATTGACCTGCAAATCGATGGGTTATCAAATTAATCGATTTATTTAACTAATGCAACGATTACGAATTAGAGATGGACGTGTACCTAATTTCAGGATAGAACCCGGCACAATTAATTTTTGCAAAAGCCCACCTCGATTCGGCACATATCCCGCGCTCAAATTTATTTTCAAGGATCTATATGAAAAATCATTTGAGACGTGTTTCACATTTTTCGCAGAATCAAAGCATCATCGGTAGAAATGCGATTCTAACATTTTTTTGGTGCAGTCTCAAGTAATGTCCGATTCACCTCAAACTTATTTTCAGAGCTCTACAAAAGAACTTAATAAATTAGTATTATAGCGATTTGGAAAATTCTACCCACAACAGTGTTTTTTTTTAGCGAAAAACGTTTGTATGATACTTTTTTGTTTACCATCCGATCGGACTCAAACACAATAGAAAGTTCTTTGTTTAAATTAATTCGAGGGGTATTTCACATGTGTTTCACATTTTTCGCAAAATCTAAAGTCCTTCGGTGGAAATGCGATTCAAAGAGTTTTTGGTTGCAGTTTTAAGTGGCAGGCGATTTGCTTCAAAACTATTTTCAGAGGTCTATATAAGAACTTGAATACGCGTTTCAGCGATTTGGGAAAATCTATCCCTTCATGGTGGAAATGGGTGTCGAAGATTTGCTTCGAAATTATTTTCAAAGCTCTTTCTTAATGAATACGTGTTTTATCGATTTGGGTATCAGTGGAAATTGGAAGAAAACGTTTGTATGAAAGCTGTTAATTTACCGCCCGATCAGTTTTTAAAATCATTATCATAGCTTTTTGAGGACATTTATTTTTTATGTGCCACGGGCAAGGCTATACCCGTAAGTATATATATATATATATATATATATATATATATATATATATATATATATATATATATATATATATATATATATATATATATATATATAAGTATATATATGCATATGTATACTTACGGGTATACGTATTTTCATATATATGTGCATTTCTTTTAATGCTCCTCAGGAATTACGAATACTACGAATCTTCATTAACTTTTCCGTCTCCTATAATTGATAATAATCGCTTACACATATATTGAATACTACTTAACATAAAATGTTTCGAATGCAGCAATATAACGGAATTTTTTCTTGGGCTTATCTTTTGTTATTTTTTCGCTTATGTCTTAATCTTTGCTTTTTACACTCTGTGCACAAATCCAGGGTAATCACAGCAGTTGGTCAACTGTAATCGCTATGTTTACATTCGTTTATCTCATGTTGGACAAATAACAAATATATGCATATATATAGATTCATATATATATATTATATATAAATATATATAGTATATATATATATATATAAATATATGAATAGATCTTGTTGTCTATCTATATGTACATCTATTTTTTTTAGTTTGGCGTTTTGCGGATCTTTTTTCTGGGTTTCTAATGTCTTTTTAATTGGACTTTTGATATTTTTACCTATTGATTATTTCGTTTCCTGGTATATACTCTAAGTATATTAAACAGGGGTTATGGGGCTTACATTTAAATTAATATTTACCTCGCTCGACTTCCGCATTTATGTTGATTGTGCGCAACCTGAGCTCTTCATTTTCGTATATCATGCCACGTGATGACTTTCTATCCAATCTGTAAAAATATAAAAATAATAAGAAATATTTGCCATAAGTAAAAAATAATATATTTTGTATATATATACATATATTAATTTTAATTGTTAATTATTGCCTTTCTTCTGTTAGGGGTTGCCATTGTGAACGTCGACCGATCAGCATTATGCATATATACAATTTGGTATCAGGTCTATGCTATATGATAAAGATATCTTATCACTCTCTATGCAAGATATGAGTTGGCAGATGATGCCTCAACGACTGCTGTAGGTCAACTGAATAGGGTAGATTCAGTTTCGCTATGCGTTTTGCCTAATTATTAGGCATTCCGCTGGCTCTGTATTAGTGGCCTTTCAACACTCGCCGTGCATAAATAAATAATCTAAAGGCGTCGTAGACAAATAAATATATACCGGTGATATATATATTTTTTTAGCTTGGAACGCGCCGCATATACGACCCAACATTTAAAGAAAATCAAGCAATAAACTGGAGGTGTTGGGCTTCATCTAGAGAAAAACGCAAACAAACTATAAATTACAAAGATTTCAAAAGCATAAATACGTTTACTGTAGCAAACGCATATATTTCTGTATATATAACAGAAAACACCCAGAAAACGAAGAGTGTACTCTAATTCGCTACGACTATCATTTCCGTTTCGTTTGTCGAATCATTATTGCTCCAATCAAATTAAATCAATTAAAGGCTATGTACAAATCCCAAATAATCCATTAAAAGCCTCTTCAAATTTTCCATAACTTACGCTATTTTATGTATTTCAAAGAAGATACGCGCGTGAATTTATTTTTGACACTGTTGTCTGAACACTTTTGAAAAACTGCCGACCTGTTGGACCAAATGCCGCCGAACTAAGCATGCTAATACCCTGTAGGGGAGCTGACAATGGGGCATATGAAGCACTATACGCAAACTAGAGCAATACTTTATATGTCGGGAGGTTTACGGCTTATTATGTGTCTGACTGGAAGATAAGCTCTGTACGTGGTCTTATTTTTTACTTTAATCATATATTGTGCGACAAAAGATGAAGCAATGAATTAATATGTCACTATTTAGGTACTTAAAAGGTATATTATAGTCTATTTTTATAGTTTTTATTATTTAGTCGTTTCGGAAACTCGACAGTTTTTGGCAAGTTTATCAAAACAACAATTTTGAAATAAATATGAAAATAAGAAGAATGAAACACCCTAGAAAAATATGCTTTAAAGTTGTGTTATTTAAAAATACAACTCTTACTTTTGAGAAAGATATGATATATAATTAATAATTATTGAATTGTAAGGATTAAATATTTAATGATGTCAAAATAAATTAAAGTTCCTATTAGAGCAGGTTATTTAGAGATTTGCAATTTTCATAATCAGATTATTTTAAAATACATATATTAAATAATAAATACTTCTAATAAAACTTCAAAATGTGGCTAACCTTATAAATATGCTATTTCGACCGAGTCTAAAGCTAACAGCTCTAGTAAAACGTAAATTGGAACTGATTCCTATCACAAAATACAACGTTGTAGCCCTGGTTTTCGAATCTATTTTTGACTTGCGAGCAGCAGTGAGGAGGCAAATGCGTGAGCGAAACGTGTGTGAATACACAATCGAGCCGATAAATGTATGATCGATACAAGGCGCAAAGCTTGGCAGTTTTATTCATAAAATGCGATGTTGATATGCAAAATGAATGCGGGATGCGTATGAAAACAATCGTTTTCAATGTGATTGGCTCTGAAATGCGGGATAAACATTGTGTGGAACGTGTAAAATCAACTTAAACAATGTACATGACTCGATGATAAACAATAAAATTTATTTTAAGGTTTCTGTTTGGGGTGTGAAATGTTTATTTTACGATCACTAAAGTGTATGGATATTAGAAGAAATTTTAATGACTTTTAATATTAATCGATATATAGGGCACCAGTTCCAGATGTTCTGTGACCAAAAATAAGTGTAACACATGGGGGAAAACTATGCCAACTGCTGCTTACTTTGCTGACTTCTCGGAGCGCTTGCTGCTTTTGCGGCTGCGTTCATTTTGTGTACTTCGAGTACTCTTCGTGCTTTTCATTTAAATGCACAAACTATTATACAAATTTATCAAATTGTGACACAATGTAGTTGAGCTCGAAGGCGCATACCAAACACAAATACGACAGACACGTGCTTTACTTTAGACCAAATTGATTAGCCAAAATTTGTTTATAGTTGTTGAACATTGTTTTTTAAGGCACACACATTGTCTTGGAAACCGTATGAAAAATTAGATAACAAATGAAAGAAAATTCAACGCAGCTAAGGAGGAGAAAAATGTATTTCGTATTGCAATACCGCACGATTCGGCTATGAACAGAAAACTGACAGTTGGGCGAGATCAGTTTTGGCCAAAAACAAACGACTACAAAAACAGTGCAAAAGCAACAAACGAACGCCGACGACTGGCATTGAATGCCGCCAAGAGCAACAAGCTGTGCCCGTGACGGCCACTGGTTCAATTTTTAATAAAAACTAAACTAAGGAAAAAAAAAAAATCAGCAACAATATAAAAAGAAAACTGAAAAGTTTCATAAAGCAAATGCGGCGATGGGTGAATCTTAAAGGCACTGCTTATATCAACAAATCATCGTTCTCAATGAAATGCGCGCATGCTTCTCAGAGATTAAATATGAAAAGAAAAAACCAGACACAAAATCTTAAGCCAAATGCCGATTAAAACAATGCTCTCTCTCTACTTTTATAAAAATATCAACAAACAATAATAAATATGGTATTGGGCAACATCAGTAAGTTAAGCATGTCACAAAGCAAAAATAAAATATGTCACTTTTCAGATAAAAGTTTTTATTAGAAACTATTTAGTCTTGAATAATTTTTATTGTAAAATTTACGAATAAGTGTTGGCAGATGCGCAATGTTCCCTAATTTAAAGACCTACACACGGAGACTAATATAAGAATATTAAAAAGTACATTTTTTGATAGATGCTCTACTCTTAAGTATAATAATATATACATTTGTTGTATATCCCATAAAAAGTGCAATGTTGGACAACGACAATAGATCTCAAGTAGGCCCACTTTACATATAAAAGTTGTTTCATATCTAAATTAAAACTGTTGTTGGCTTTTTTAGGAAAAAAGACAAATTAGTGCGGGCAAAGGCGCAAATATTCCCTAATTTAAAGGCAAATATTCCATAATTTAAAGACCTAGACATTCACAGACTAAAACAAAACTATTAAAGATAATATATTTTAAAGCTGCTCTGTTTTTAAGTATAAAATTACCTACCCTTCTCTCCATTGGTGCTCCATTTGAAAGAAGCTTTATGTGTGAAATGGGTATCAAAGTGTTGTTAAACGACTTTGAAAGGGTATACAAAAGAGATAAAACGTCAGAGTTTGAACTTTTGACGTAGCCGAGCAGTCAGCTAGTTTTCAACGAAAAAAAGCTTTTACGATTCGCTTATGTATATATATTTATATGTATATATATACATAGTGTAAATGTAAAGACAAAGCTGCATACTTTTGAATAAGAAAATCAGCCGCAACAATGTTAAGTAGTTGATTTTAAATATATATTCATTAAATTAACATTTTTCATTCATTAATAATTATAAAAACCCAAATACCTGGGCATTTTTTGAGCAAGCCAATTTATTTAATGTGATTTGCAATTTTTGTTGCATTTGTTTTTTTTTTTTTTGCTTGTGTAACTTTTTCTCTTGTCTACATAGAAAATAAATTAAATTTAATCAAGCCTTTAATCGGATTGGGAGCACAGTTTGGTTTATTACAAGTACCAAAAACGACAACAAAAATTAATTTATTTTAACAATAAGCAGCAGATAATATAAATTACCCAGCTGCACCGCAATTTCAATTAATTTAACAGCTCAGCTACTAAGTTAAATAACATTGTAAATTGTTAAACCATTTTTTACTTGATTGTATACAGTGGCTAATTATTAGCTGGATAGCCTGTGGTCAGAATGTACAAAAATAGGTACATATCTGAAATGTGTCATTGAGCTGGCTGTGGCTAAAAGTGGGCCAAAATATAAGTATCTCGAACGTCCACACAGAGTGGGTACCTTATAAATCTTACATATAAACAGACGCATAACTGCGACTCTTTAACCCAATAATCTGTCTGTCAGTTAAGTTAAGTAATTGATTTCGGGGCTTCTTAAAACATGCTTTAGAAATATTTCACTTGTAAACACAACACGGACGGGGGCTGGCTTATTATTAATCGATATCGGTGTCTTCTCTAGCGCGTTCGATAATATAATCATTCAGAATTTAGCTAGTTCCAGAAATAGATTCGATTTTGGAAGGTCAATAACTTTTACTTTTATTTGCGCCTGGGGCTTTCTGCATTTGCATTGGCAAACAAACTATAATACATTGGAAGGCTGCCAAATTGTTTTTATTCTCTTAATTACTTTGACTACTTTTCAGCTGCCCCTCGACATATTTAGATCGGTTAATATTTAACAAATGTTAGTTCACAGGGCTCGCCATAAATAATATTTTCCCACATATATTTGTTTATGCAAATGTGTGAATTTAAATTATTTATATGCCATTAAAAAATTAGCACAGGCTATGCGAGCCAATTAATATCTGGCACAAAAAAAACGTATTTTAGTTTTATTATTATTTTTTTTTTTTGCGCAAAACTCGTGCCAATTTGTGGCTAAGTTAATCTCTTCTGTCATTCTTTTTGCCTTCTTCTATTGTTTACTTTGACATAAATTTGACGCAGACAGTTTAATCTTAACTGATAATATTTTAATATTTGTTTTAAGATGTCGTTAAAATGTTTGCTTGAGAAATTGTTGACATTTTAAATGAAATAAATGACTGACAATTAAAATTGAAACTTATTTGAATTTGCCTAATACTTATTAGAGTATAATAAATTCAGGATGGATTTGAGAAATGACAATGCTGCTGCTATTCATGAGCTCTGAAACTTGATCATTTCCAAAAATCAATTTAAAAATTCAAAAAAATTATAATAAAAAATATAATTTGTTTATACAATAATATTGAAATTTTTTCTCTTATAAAATAAAAAAAAGTTATATATATATTTTCAATATAAGAGATCTTTCATAAATTAGCTGCGCATGATCCTTAAGAAAAGCTCGTAAGCTTATGCAAAGCTTTCACTCTCTTTGTGCGTAGAGCTTTGCACTGCTTTAGAGATCATGCCGCAATCTTCCGTTTGCAATTGAAATATAGAGCTTATCTACACGTTATAGATACGCACTTATAGATAAAATATTTAAAGATCGGTTAAGTTACCTGCTATTTAGCTTATAGTGTGCATGACGTCTTCGTTCTCGGAGCATAGTCGTGCGTTAGTTTTCCGCATATGAAAGAAAAACCAGCAAACCAAAAAAAGGGCAAAAAGACACATAAAGTAAAAACGAAGGGAAAAACGAAAGAAAAAATAACAACAATAACACAAATCGTAGACAAAATAACAAAAACAAAAAATTAAAGAAGAATACAAATGTTTCAGCAAATTATTTTTCCTGTTGTAAACGTCTAAATGTTAGAAATGTGATTTTGGGTTTTGTGATTTTTTGTGTTTTATTCGTTTTTCCTTTAATAAGAAAATTTACTTTTACTTTGTTTATAAATACTCGAGAGCGTGTTTATTTAGATGGGGCCAAAGTATGTAAGCGCATGTTGAAAATATATTCTGACACAAACAATACAAATAGAGCGTACCAAATGAGTTATTTACCGAGAGATATGCCAATTTTTACAGATAATTCTCTTGAGTTGTGCGCTTGAAGGTAACCAAAAAGTTTCAAGACGACGCACACAAATAAAATAATATGTGGCTTATTATTGACTAGCTTAATATCTTGATGTTCATTGACATTCGCTAGGAACTGTCTGTCTCATACACAATGCATATATATTTGTATAAAAGTGTATTCATATGTAAATATGTTTTTCTGCCGAACTACACACATCTGAAAGCGGCTGCGACAGACGACGCACAAAGGCATATTTCGAACTGAGGAGCCCCAACAACAGTAAAACAACAAGGAAGGGGCCTGACAGCAGCACGCAAGGGTTTCCTCCAGGGTAGGGTGAGGTGTTGTAAGGAATTTTATTCAAAGGGTCGAAGAAGCATTATCTGGCAAGGCAATTGATTTATCGATCAAGTTGTCAAGTGCTCATTGTCATTATTCAATCAGTATTTACATGTGTTACAATCGAGACAAGAGCCTCGAGCATGAATCCTTGACAGGCCCCAAACGATTGCAACAGCACATGTGCACTAATGGAATTTTTTTCGAAAGTGTATTTATTGTATACTTGCATTCAAAAGATGACTTTCATTAATTATTCAAAGTAAAGCAGTAAAAATATTCTTGTCATGTGTACTAAGAACTTTAGCTTGATTGTATTGTACGCTTAGTAAGTTTATGTACACAATTGCAAAACAGTTTTATTTCTATTTTTTCTTAAGGCTTTGTTCAATTGAGCTCAAATTCTTTCTGCTCACTTTTAGGCTATTTTTAAAAATAGCTAACTAAATCAGATATAATATATTTTAAATGATCTTTTTTTATGGAAAACAAATTCTATACCATTTGTATAAAATTCAATGAAAATATATAATTTACTTCCGTAGTGAAATTGGTTAGTCAATTACTTGGGATTGAAATCTGTTTATTTATAAACTTACTCAGTATCGTAATAGGAACTCATAAATATAAACACGCGTCCTATTAATTAAATGCTACTTTCGTGGGAAGAGCAATTAGCGGACCGTAGATGCAAAGTGTTCGATTTAATTGATGAAGAATCGGGCTTATTATTTGGGCACTTGTACATGCTATGCATGCTTAAAATAAGTGGATCATAAATGGAATTTTATAATTAAATGTATCCACGGCACAGAAAGAAATGAGAAAGTGTGTATCTGCGAAAGACGGCGAACGTTCGAATGCGAATGCGTTGACAAAGATACAAATGTAAATGCAGATAAAGATGCAGATACAGATACAGAGAATGAGTGAGAGTGAAACTGAGATTGAGGGGCGGGCGGTCACACGTTGGAACGCGCACGAAACGAGTCAACGGATACGTTGTGGCCTGGCAGGCACGCGACTGCTAACTGCAACCGCTGCGTCTGGGGCAACCACTTGGCCGCATGCCGCACGGCAACAAATTTCGTTGTTATTTGTGTTCTCGTGTTAAATAATTGCGTATACATTTTATTTGTTGTTGTTAGGCCCAAACACACACGCTGATATGCCTATGAAATGGGGCGGGAGGGTTGTGGCTGGGCTGAGAAGCAGTGAGCGTGGCAGCCGTTGCATATGGCATGCCAATTCAGTGACGGACTATGCGTGCGTCTCTTAGTCAAAATTTACAGCGATACGTTGCACGCGCTACAAATTGAGAACAAGCCAGAAAAGCACAAAAAACAAAAACCGGCAGCAACAGTTATCGAAGTTCAAATACCCTTCCCATAGTGATATTAAATTTACATACACGCGAAAAACGGTTGGATTGAACCTGCTGACCCTCTCCCTATATTAATATGATATCCATTATAACACAAAACATAAATGTATATATTAATAAATATATATACCTATATACTTGAATATAGCCTTAAAATCGGAATTTCAGTTAAATTAAAAGATTTCTGTTAAAGTCAAACATTTGGGCCTTATCTAAAGAGTATTTGTAAAAATACATTAATACAATTTTCAAATATAAAAAAAATGTTTGAAAGTGTTATGTGGAATATTTTTTCACTTATGCTTGGAACTAAATGCTACTCGAGTTCGTATTAAGTAAATTTATAAAATATGAAGGTAATTTGTAAAAGAACTTCATTTTCCAAAGATTGTTTCCCTGGCAGTTATTTGAAGCCAGATGGCTTTTATCTACATAATGCCTGCAAATTGACAAAATCAAGAATAAATGTACTTCATTTGCTCGACATTATTTTCTGCAATATGTATCTAACAAACTCTTTTGGTTTAGGTATAGGGTATCAAAAGCGCAACTTTTTGTGTTCGTGGCCAAACCCAAATGCACAGCTAAAATCCAAGCAAATAAGCTTTCAAAAATCTAGTTTGTTCTCTTTTTTTTTTGTGATTTTTCATGTTGGCCTGCGGCCTGCTGCATTTGGCTTTTGTAGCACAGATTCTGTATTTCGTCTGGCACATCATATTTTGCGTCCGCTTTTTATGCAAAATCTAAAATCGCAGCCACTCACGAATTCCCATAAAGATCAGTCAAGGGGCTGGCATTAGTATAGAACTTTTGATGTGTCCACCGCTTTGAGAGTTTTTAATAGACAACATATGACTTTTATGGAGAAGTGAGTTAAAGGGCTGAGAATGAAACGAGCGGACGGTCTGACTGTGTCCCTAGAATTTGTATCTTTAAGGGAACATTATTATTAATTTTATAGTTTTTCTACGACTTCGACCTGCATGCAGGCACACTGTATTACAGTTAAACATAAATAAACAAGTTTATGATCAAAGTTTTTTGAATGGATTTAAACTTTCTAAATGATAATTTACGGCCTCCTGCCTGGAGGAAATTTATATAAATTATAATTCTTAAGAAATTTATAAAAATGTGCACTTTTTACGATAGCGAATGCCCTTACTTTAGCTTTAATTCCATAAAATTGTCTTTTGACTTTTGTAAGTGAGAACATTTTGAATTTGACAAGACCTCCAAACTGATTCTGCTTTTAAATTTGATTCTAATTTTTTTTTTGTCTTACTCTTCTTTTTTGGAAAATATGAAAATGTGGAATATTTGGAAGTATTTTTTCATAGCTTGTGAGCTTAAAGACTGGTAGAAAATCTATAAAAGCGATTCTGACTGAGTCGATTATTCTGTCCTGAATCATTCTACTAAAAAGAAGAACTAATAATTGGACTTGTCGAACTCCCCACTTACCTGGTTTAGCTATTACGTAGACCTTTAACTGAATTTAATACAGAAAACCAGTTTGGTCATGATGTGCCCTGCTTAGTTTCTTTAAAGCAAAATTGTATTTAAAACAAATATGTATTTGTTTTTGTGATGATTGCAAGCTATTCGCCAGTTAATTTCGAATAAACGATGGCATACTTCAGGTTGTTGCAATAGTTTGCTCAAATATACAAATTAAATCAAATGTTAAGCTTGTTAATAGATTTTGAATATATGTTTTTAATGTGAAGCTCAATTTGTTAAGGAATTTTAAATCTTTGCATAAATTCTTTAAATATTTTTTCAAATAGCTGCTTATTGGCGCAACGCATTTATTAATTTTAAATGTGTCAAAATCTCAACTAAATTAAACTCTTACCAAACAAATGGTATGTTTATATTTTGCGTCTGTCTAGTTGTGGACACATGTCTGGCCGAAAGGTGAGTGCTGAGATCAGGCCGAATCTATTTTGGAAACCCACTCACACAAATCTTTTGCCATTGGGAGCTCGTGAGTCAGCTGTAAATATTGGCCAACATTCCAGTTGGCCACCGAAATGTGCAGCAAAGAGCATTGTAAACGATAAGTTTTGAATGTTATTTGCGCCATATGCCGAGAATTTGCCTGAATGATATTTACAAGTGTGGGATAACACTTGCTTGGCCTTTGCCGTTATCCATGCCTCGGCCTGTTTTGTAAATAATTTCTCAAAATGAAAACAATGCGTCACACCATTTGGCATTGCGCTAATTGAAGCGATCCAAACAAAAGACATTAAAACGGGCAAATTTTGCTTTAGTTTGTTTACCCAAATTTGAGATACCCTTGAAATTTGAATTCACATATGCCAGATACTTAAGAGAAAGTTTTCTGTTTAAAATATTTGAACCTTTATGTTATATTTAGCATGAACCGCAACGAGTTAAGTCGACGGTCATCAGATAATCAAGAAAATATTGAACCATACCAATATGAGAATCATACAAAATAAAAAAAAAGTATGCTTTGTATATAAACGAAAATTACCCCAAAGATAATTTTGACCCCAACTCTTTGCCTTCGAGGCAATATTTATGGAAATTCGCTAGAAATGTAGCATACTTTTTCAATTTAAAATATTTAAAACTGAATTGTTTTGTTTTGGATTTTAAATAAATGAGTTTCATTTAAAACAAGAAACTGTGTGGCTTGATGCAACGCAAAAACGGATCCTATGACTTTGGCAAATCTGGTTCAGGAAACGAAAATTACCCAAAATAAAATACATTATTAATTTTGTGGCGTTCCATATAAGCCCCAAAAATTAATATACCCCGGGGTATATATGGTCGCAGCGGGACATTGTTTTGTCGAATCAAAGCGATTTTCCTCGTGGGCTTGCGATCAAGGTAGCGGAAGCGAAATCAATTTAATTATCCAAAAATTAGCGTAGCACATAAAATCATATACGAAATCGTTGTTTTTGTTGTTGAAAATCAACAGGAAAAATATTGGCCCGCATTTGTGGGGGGTTCAATGTTCCGATGACGCTTTTTATGAGCGCAAATGAAATGCAAATAATAATATTTCAAGCGTTTCCAATTTTAATTTCATTCGCTGCTAATTGTACAGACCAAATTGAAATATGTACTCATATGCGCGCGTACTATAAATATGTTTTCATTAATTGCATATACGTGGTTTATTTGCATAGCCAAAAAAAAAAAAATGTATACAACATGATTAAACACATTCGCTTAAAAAATATGCCACTGACCCGGTCGTCAATTTGGGCCTAAAGCTAGAATAATGTGTTTCCCAATTAAAATGAAATTCAATAAATTTTTCTTTGATAGCAAAGACAAATTTATGCGACTGACCCAACCATTCGCCAGGCGAGGCCGGCATTTAATTAGCGGCATAATAAATTCATTGGAAAACAGTGTGGCCAAAAACAATGGAACAACAGAAAAATACATTTTTAAACGATTTCAACTACATTTTACAGCGTAACTGAAATAAATCTCATACCCATAATGCTTTTCAACAATGCCTCGGTCTGCCAACAAGTGAAGCGCTTTGGCATTAAAACGGCAACTGGCTCGAATCACAGGTGAAGGCATCATTTTGTGGCCCAAAAACATAAGGTCAAGTGCCGGAAACATCAGCACTAACATTAGCATTAGCGTTAGTTCAATATATCATATTATAAAAAATACCGTTGGGCAAATCTCAATATTTAATGACTGCTTATACGTTAAATTTTGAATTTGAAACATATATCCTAAAATATATTAATTTCGAACATTTTTCCCATTTTATTTAATAATTTTAGATATACTGATATTTTCAATCTTACACTTTGCTAAAAATAGGTTATAAGTAAATCAAAATCATCAAATTTATTAATTTTTTTCTGTTTCTTGATTTTTGAAATCTTTGATTTTTAAACTCAAAATACCCTTTTTAAAAAATTGCTGAAACCATACATATACTATAGCTTATATATATATATATATATTAACCAAATGTTTTACAAAACATAACCGGGTTTTAAGCTTGCTTTATTTTGCTTTACACATAAATAGTTTAAAAAAATATGTTTCGAAAGCAATTTTTTATTTGATTTTGCAATTTTTTGGCATATAAGCTTAAATGATTGTAAATTGTTTTAATAAACACATGGTTGCTTAATATAGTCTGTTGTTTAGCGGTAAACAATTCAAAGAATTGTGTTGGCCGCTCTGCCTCTCAGCATTAAATAACTGACTGTGTTGGCAACTCTGATGTGATGCTATAATTAACTCTCTATGTTGGCAACTGTGATGTTTAGAGTAAATAGCTCTGCTCTTAACGGTAAGTAACTCAAATAATTGTGTTGGCAACTCTGCTGTAAAGCGGTAAATAACTCTCTGTATTGGCAACTCTGCTGATAAGCGGTAAATAGTTCAAATAATTGTGTTGGCAACTCTGTTGCTTGTGCGTTTTTGACCATAGTCAGTTTGCGCTTACCGACTTGGAAAGGAATTTCGTTAAGCTAAGCTAAATAAACACGCTCGAGTAACTTACGTTGCATATGTGTATGTATGGGTGTGTGTATGTGTGTGTGTGTGTTAAACTATGTTGCAACCTACTTGATTTTGCTGGCGATGAGCTTTGCGTTGATTTCCGCTGATTGTTGTCGCTGTTGTCGCCGTTGCTGCCGCTGGCGCGTCCGCTAATTAAATTGTCATCCAAAGAAATGCCGTCGAGCCAATGCATGACATTATTTCAATTAGTTAGACGCACACACACACACACACACACATACACACACTTAATGAGAGAGAGATAGAGAGAGAGAGAGAGACAGAGAGTAAGAATGAGATAGATGGGAGCTGACAGATAAATCACATTTCTTTTGTATTAAATTGATAATTCGTAAACGTTGACACACGTTTACCACAGACACATTCTTGACATTTTCCGCGACTTTTCCATTTACTTGACGCGACAAAAATGGACTCGATTTTCGTTTTACCCAGCAACAAGTCGTGTCGGATTTGCCTCTTCTTGCTTTGACTTCTGGCGTGTACTTTCTGTATTCACTTTAGCTGCGCTTTCAACACGCATACGCCCCATGCTCCCGCATAATTAGCACAATGCACTTTTCAACACTTTTTGCTGTTGTCGTTACTTATTGCTGTTGTTTTATATTTGTTTTGTTTCTATTGAGGCGCAGCGCACACGCAATTTATTACTTATTTCCAGCTGCACATTTGACGCAATTGCCGCAACTGTATCTATATATATATATATATATATATATATATATATATATGTAAACATATATATAAACATATATATATATATATATATATATATATATATATGTTATTTTGTAAAGCTAAACGGGGCAACGCGACACGATCGTTCCGATAATTCCTATCGATTTGTATACTCTATCTGCGACTTGTTGTTGGCCCGCTGGCTAACCGGCTGCTTCTGCCTCTGACTCTGACTGACACCCCGGACGCTGACCGGGCAGTGGCTGTGGCCAATGTGCCACGGCAGCGTCTGTGGCGCATTTCCAATCGCTTCGCACGTTATTGTTTCCATTGTGTTCGATATTTGTATTTTCTTGTACTTTTGTTATTCCTACACGCACACACACACACATGTACACACGCACAGTTGTCTATATGTTTTAGTTTGCCTCAATTTATTGTGCCTTTTTTATACCATTGTGGAGAGGGTTTTATAATTTTGCCATATTATATGTAACGCATAGAAGTAAACATCTTAGAGCCAATAAATTATATCTATATAAAAAACTCTTTGTCCTGATTGACTGACTGACTGATTGGTGATCAACGCACAGACCAAATCGTAAGAGTTAGGAACCTGAAATTTTCACTGTAGTTACCTTATGTAATGAAGGTGCACGTCAAGTCGGGGTTTCGGGAAATTCCACCCGCAAGTATGGAAAATTCGCGAAAAACGTTTTTTAGAAACTTTTTTGTTTACCGTTCCATCGGCTTCAAATTAAATTTCTTATTTCAAATTCATTTGAGGGGTATTGCACACTTTTCCAAAAATGTATTCATCCTTGGTGGAAATGGGGGTCAAAGATTTGGTGGATGACGTTTCGCGCTCAAATTTATTTTCAAGGATCTATATGAAAAACCATTTGAGACGTGTTTCACATTTTTGCGCAGAATCAAAGAATCCTCGGTAAAAAGGGTGATTCTAACATTTTTTTGGTGCAACTTTAAGTTTATGCTTTAAACTTATTTTCAGAGCTCTACAAAAACACTTAATAAATACGTGTTATAGCGATTTGGGAAATTCCAACCATAACAGTGGTTGATTAACGAAAAACGTTTGTATGGATGATTTTTGCTAATCATCCGATCGGCCTTAAACTAATTTTAAAAGGTTTTTGTTCAAATTCATTTGACGGGTGCATCATACTTTTCAAAAAATTTATTCCACCTTGGTGGAAATGGGAGTCAAAGATATGGTTGGACGTTTCGCGTTTTACTTCATTTCCATGCATAAAAAGTCATTTGAGACGTGTTTCACATTTATTGCATTATCTAATCTTCGGTGGAAGTGCATTTTACTTTTTTTTTGCTGAATTTTAAGCTGTGTAAGATTTGCGTCAAACTTACTTTCCAAGCTCTATATAAGAATATAATGAATACGTGTTTACCTGTATCAGTACCTGTCGAATCGAACTACTATATCAATCAGTCGGAAATAAAATATTTTGCTTGAAAAATTCTTATTTATATTGGGCTATCAGGCTTGTGTTTGTAGGGAATTTCCCTTTATTAGTTAAACTGACTTCTAACTAAAACTAAGCTAAATTGTATATATAACGGAATACCAATGTATAGTTATAAGTAGACCATCGGTTGAAAAGGAGATTTTCCTATGAAAAACTTTAAGAACGTCTTCAGAAAGCTTTGCATATACAAGTTCCAACATGCTTTTTACATACAGCTAAGATGCAATCAATACCGTAATACCATTTCCTATAGCTCCATTGTAAGAATCTATTTAAAAGTGAGCTAGGAAACACATTTCTTAAAATACCCTCATTAAATTCAGCAATCAGGAATTTTAGAATTTACCAGGCATATCTTCAAAACGTTTGCAATGTGTCTGCGAGGGTATTTTATCGTCAGCATGCCGCAGCTGTCCGTTTTATCTTGTGTTTTTTTTTGTGTTTATTTTATACACGTTCGCAATGTTTTCTAGTATTACGCTACAAACCCCTCTCTTAGGTGGCCAGTAGGCCGACAACCCGCAGACAGACAGACCCGCCTTGTTCTCTGGCCAATTTCCTTTCAGACAAGTCGGGACATAAACATACGAATTAGCATTTCGGTCTACGTATGCTTTGGACGGAACTATCGTCTAGAGCCCACATACTTTGTAATTCCGCGTACTACTTATGTGGGAATGCTGCAGGGTCTTTTTTTTTCTATGATGACTAGAACCTATTAGATTTCACAAATTATTTGGCTTGTGGTATTACTCATTCGATTGTAGATTGATTTTAAATGTTCCTCAATAATTAAAGAACACCGCAGCATGTTTATTTATAAATTATGCTCACCTAATAGCTGAGAACAAGCGGCATTAGCTTCAGACTATATGCTTTATAGGGGTAATAATTAAAAATCAATTTGATTTGCTTGATTTTTGTTCGCACATCATTTTGTTTTTCTTATTTTTTTTTGAGAAGCGCTGCGAATGTAAGCCAAATGGGTAGAAAATAACATACACAATAATAAATAAATTAATCCGAATTCACCAGAAAATTATTGAAATTAATGGAAAAACAATTTTCACAGCGAATGCTCAACGCCAATCTTAAAGAAAAATTTAATGAAAATGATATAAACGTGTAATTTATGACATGCAGAACATCAAATACATTGTTGCATGAATTATGAATCTTTTTCGAATGCCCTGTACAACTCGGGTGCTTCAAAGTGGGTATGCTAAAATGTGCTAAAGCCACAATTTTCTTTTTATATATTAGAAAAATATATGGAGAGGGTAAAAGGTACTCTTCCGGATATATATATTTATATATATATATATATACACATATATAGGGAGCGGATAGGAGGAATTTTTCCGGATTCCATTAAATTCATTTGAAATTTGTAATATTTTCCTTAATTTTCTTAACTTTCTAACCACTAAATTCTATTTATTTTTTCAAAATTTTATGAGATAAATGACATAAATTGTATAGAATTATGGATATATGGTTTAGTGTTGCAATAATTGCGACCTGGTAACAGGGTATCTGTCAGTCAATCAATTTAAAAGCTCAAACTTTGATATGTTTTGATTTGACAATTTAGTTTGGCGAAGATGTGGAAAATTGTTGGGCTTGTGCGCTGTTTAGAAAAAATATTAAATTTTCCTATTTTATTTTTTTTGTTTATGATAAACCTAAAATAAACATTATGCTTAGCAAAAATATATTCAGATTAGCTAATTAATTAAAAACTTTAAAGCAGATTCAAAATGAGTAGAATAATTTTTTGTCACATCATTTTAATACGTTATGCAATGTCATTATAATTGATGCGCGGTAAGATTTGACATGTACACATAATTAATTCATTTATGCGTACATATATACGTAGTCATATTTATATACATATTTGTATAGTTTGTAACCACTGTGCGCTTAATGGCGGCACGTCAACAATTAACGAGCTGACAGCCTGCGTTTGACAGTGATTGAAAATTCATTTTTGTAATTTAAAACGGATTGTTGATAAACCAAACAATAGAGTGCAGCTTGACACAGTTGCTTTAAGTTGATTTACAAAAAAAAAAAATAAAATATGTATGTATTTGATTTTTTTAAGTGCACACTGAAATACAAACATACACAAATTCACACAGGCCTTCGTGGGCCATTTTAAATTGTTGTTCCGATTTGTTGTTTGATTTAAATTGCGTTCGCATTACAGTCGAAAATTGATTTATTACACAACAGTGACGTCACGCTCTGCACTTTCACCGCGACGTCAATTGCACTTGGCCAGGCGCAGTTTTTGCTTTGGCATATTGAAATGATTAACATCGTCGCCGGAAATATTTTTTTTGGCGGCGATTGCTCATTTACATTTCAATCAACAAACAACAACAACAGCAACACGCTCTGGTTAGCTCAATGTTGCCTATCTCTGTCAGCATCGATCGCGCCACGCGGCGTATGAGCGATATATTTTTTTTCCAGCGTCAATTTTTGGGCCGTCTGCCACGTCTGAAAGACCGACTTACTCTGCAGCCAACTGCATGCGCCTCGGCGCAGCGCTCCAAACAGCTGTCTTCCAGGCAGCCTCATGTGTGTGTGGTGTGTGTTGTATGTGTGCGAGCGGGTGTGCGTACGCCGTAAATGAGGCGAGACAACGCAGACAACATGAATCGTTGGCGGAGCTGGAGGTGCAGCCATTTGCCGTTGTGCTCCCTTATATTCTGTTCTATTTTGTACTTGTCTGAGGCCTTTTGGCCCCCGACAGCTCCCAGTCCACAACCGCCTGCCGCCCCCGCCCCTGCCTGTGGGTGTTCCTCCTGTGTTACGTTGGAAAATTAAAAGAATCAAAGGCAACGACAAAGAGCGAAATTAAGTATTTAGTTGTAGTACGAGCACTCTATATAGTATCTATCGCAGCTAGACATGCATTCTGCCTCTTGCATCTTGTAGCAGCAGCAAGGAAGAGGGTGAAAAAGAAGCATCGACAGCCTGTGTGTGTACGCGCTCATAGGCAATACTTAAATTCACTTGGGCATAGAGTGGACCAAGAGCTGAAGATAAAAAATATTTTTAAGATTCAAGCAATAAGCTTAATAAAAAAGTCATATTTTGTTAATGAGTATTAATTTAATTTGATATTAAATGCCTTAAAAATATTAACAAATATTTATAAATATTCGATGAGTATGTTGAAAAATTATTGTCATATTTTTGTTAAAACTGTTTGAGTGCTTACAAATGCTTATAATTTATAATGGCTTTGCATAAAAGGGACGTACTCTTATTACTTTAATAACCTGCTGCTTTATTTGGTCCGCCCTAAAAACTCAGGCGGTTTTGCGTGTAAGCGTTTCAGTGTCTGTGTGTGGGCTTATGTCAAAGATGAATAAAAGCAGAGTGAAAAATAAAATGTGTAAGAGTCTCATTGCCGTGCCGAGATAAAATGCATTGTTTTATATCAAATTGCAGAAGAAGAAGACAACTGAAGAAGAAGGCAACAGAAAAAAAAGTAATGAATTAAGAAAATACAGGGGATGGTAAATGATGTAACGAAAATTGGCCATGGGGTTATCAGCCAGTAACAATTATTATATAATTGCGATAGGTTAATTAATGAGAGGCAAAATCTCAGAGTGAGATATTAACTAGCAAATCATTGAGGATATTTTAATAATTATATATTTCGCGCGAATGTGTAAAATAATGGATACTACAACTACATTTCTAAGAAAAAAAAAACTAAAAATGTAGATAATATTTCTTTCATTAGCTCGTTTCTAAGGGTCTGGCAGCACTGCTTGGCAATGATACCCATACAAATGTTTTTTTTTATATGTTGCATATATTTAGCCTTTTATTATATTACTCGCACATACGTTGCTGCCTACTGGTTCTTTTGCACGGGCGTAACCCATTGCTTGGCCTTGCACCCGCACCAGCCCTCTGCCCCAATCCCATTCCCAACCACCACTTGAATGGCGAAAATGTAAGCATGGGCTACTTCCAGCACACAGCGGGCCAAAGAAAGCTCCAGCACGATTAACACGTCATCGATGTGAACGCAATCTAAAATCGGGCCTTGTCTTGCGTCGATTATCTTATTGGAAACGAGACTCAATGTACATACAAATTGCCATATACTGTATACACCATATAAGTCCGCATTAATGGGGTACAGTGGTAGCAAAACGAGCGAGATAAATTATTGTATCCGTCTGGTTCTTAAAGTGTTGACAGTGTTTTGGACACAGGGGACCAGAGATTAAAATGCATTAAAATGAATATCTTTGGTCCATGGAACACGATGCCCAAACAAACAACGTGAGAGGGGCCATATGTATTTATATATGTATATTATAGCTGGAGACATTAGGGCGGATTGTGGATGCCGCCTCTTGCAATATATATTGGGTTTGTTTGGGGACGCATCGAAAGCATAATCTTACTTTTGATGCTGGTTTTGGTTTGGAGGGAGGTTGCTTGTTGCCAGACATGACCAGACGAGGCCAGACGTGGCTCGAATACATGTGGATTTGCATGTGTATTCCAATTATTTATAGTGTTACCCATACGCAGCGTGCGCCAGCCGAGCAAAGGGCACACTAATTCAATTAAGTTTTCTTGCTGCTTCCTGCTGACCGGCACTTGTATTTAAAGGACTTGTTTGTTGCATTGTTTTGCGTAATCCAAATTCTAAGAACTTATATAAATAAATTTACAGTGAGTTATTTGCTTTTCTTACCTGTTGGCAGCGCCATTCGAAAGTTTTGCCTTTTGCGAAAAATTGAAATCAATTTTCAAATGGCAACAAGTGCACTCATAGGGAGCTGCCCTTCGTGTGCCGTTGGCATTCAACTTGCCACCACGTTGCACGTTGATTTTCGTTTTATTGAAGTGCATAGCGAATGGTTATTGAGAGAGCTGCTCAGCACAGTTTCGATTATATTTGATTCAAAGGTCAAGAAGCGGCAAGTGCAGTTTTTCATGCAACAAGGGGCTGCTCTTCAGCCTGAAATTTATTTAATCAGCCAAAAAGTGCACAAAAGAGGAACTGCAATTACTGCCCATTTGAATAGGTGGTTGGAGAAAAATCAAATCGAATGATAAGGGTTTTTGTAGAAGAACAGGAGGGTTTGAAACTAAACATATATATGTATATATATTATTGTTATTATATTATATTATTGTTTTCAACACTTAACTCAAGAGCAAATCAGACTATTAAAATATTATTTACAAAGGTTTCCATTAAAGAAAATCAATTAAGTTACAAAGAACACATTCCCAAGAAAAAGTCATAAGATGCCAATTAAAAGCACGAAATAATGTCAGAAAGGGATTGAAGAGAGAGAGTTCTTAGCTCTAAAACAATATTTGCCCACCTCAATGATAGTTATTAACAAGTCTGGAATGAACTATTAAAGTGCTTAAAATATTTTGCATTTTCCGCCCTTTTCATTTCAGTGTCATCATAACTGCCTGTCCGGGCAAATATAACAAAGAATATTTCACAAAGAACACAAGAAAAACTCTAGCACTATAATCCTAAGCTGAGCTGCGTTAAAACCCGTGCCTTATATTATTTTATTTAAGGTAAGACTCCGCTAAAGAGCATGCTGAAAGCACAGTATTTAAGAAATAATCACATTTAAAATGCTTTGCTTTAGCATCGAGACTTCCGCTTGATTATGGCAAACAAGCGAGAATCGACTTTGGGAGCGGACAAATAAAGATGACGGACTTTTGTTTTGTTGTTGCAAGGCACAAACATATTATTAACAATAACTTCAAAGGCAATTATCATTAATTGTTATGGCCATTTAAATTTAACGCATCATTAACGGCGCCAGCCAAACGGGCAACAACAAAATCGGCTAAAAGCTCTCCACAAACACATTTATAGCAAATGGGCGCCAAGAGCTTTTCGTTGGCAACCAAACAGGAGGCAGCTTTTGCCTCCTAAGAGAGCCAGGTTAAGAGAGTCAGGTTAAGAGACCCGACACGTTGTTGAAACTTTTTTGGCGTTCTTTTAGCGCATTTTCGGTTTGAATTGTAAGTTGTTGCCTGCTTTTAGGCGCACGTCTTAAAAGGCGTGCCAACCCGCGCGCTCCCATTATGAAATTTGGCATCTGGACTCTGTGACAAATTTAATTACCAGCAGCAACGCGCCTGTCTGCCATTGATAACCCAAGTTCAATGAATCGTTCAAAATTGATAGCCATTAAAATTTCTGGCATGCCTGCGCACTGATCACACCAAATCATCCCAAAATATTTCCCAAGGTCAGCTGCACCTGGCAGCTCCCCAACATGGAAAAGTTTGGGTACACAATAAGTACATGGCATACTTTACAAAGGCCAACTAATTAGCGGGTTTGCAAAGCAGCAGAATTTGTAAGCAAAGTTTTTCGAAATTTATTGCGGTTTCTCGATATAAAAAGAGTAAAAGTTCTATATTAAGCAGGGGGTTTTCAGTTCGAAGCATACGATTTTAAAACCCATTATAAAACATCATATATCTTGGGGTAAACTATGAAGAGGCTCAGCTTAAAAAAACGTTCTTAAGCGGCCCTTATTATAGAATATATTTATGATTAAAATGGAAGTTATTAACGTAATAAATTTATATATAAGCTGACAGATGGAGAGAAATATTTAGACTATACGAGTAAGCAAATCAGGTACACGTGTTATTAGAAGATTCTGACCAACAGCAGGAACCGGATACGGAACAGTATTTCACGAACATTTGCCAGTAGCAGCTGTCAAAAGTCCTGAATAATTTATTAATTGTTCGCAGCTGCGTGTTTCTCCGTTACCTACACCAAGGAGGGGCAGCTGCATATGAAGCGTAAATTAATTTCGCACCCTCCAGTTGTGTGCTGTCTGCTAAACTGATAGCTAAGCCAATTTAAAGTAAAATGTCAAGTTGTATTTTTTATCGAGTAGATTTCTTTTGCACCCTTAATTATGGCACTTTACGCCAACGTTAGGGGGAAGGTGGAGGACGTCGCAATTGGAAATTTTCGCGCAGGATTTTCTTTATTTCAATTTTATTTAGTCTGCTGTATGCGCTGTCCAGAAACCGGGTGCGGGTGCGGGTGCGGAGTCTGTACACAAGAGCGCGCAGTCGTGCGTGCATTTTCCACCCTTTTCACTAAGTGCGATTGCTTTTCGAAGTGACTGTGAAAGCGGATTCTAAGCTTGAGGAATGCCAACAAGTGGCAATGACAATTGAATCTTCTGGCAATCAAAATCACATAAAATTCCTGATATTGAGTGCGCATTTGTTGTGCTTGGGGAGGGTAAATGAATTTAGAAAGTACTTCAAGACAGTTGCTTATGCATATATCGGTTTTTTATGATTGTTGCTTGCAAATGATACCTAGCGTTGTAAATATTCATGTTAACTTTTAATCAAGCTAACCAAGCAGCTAACAAGGCTGTTAAGCGCTTTGGGGTACCGATAAGTGTGCCACATATTAGTTCGATTTATCTACCCTTCATTCTACTATATCTAATATTTGCATACTTAACATTCTGTGATTTCATTACAATAAAATACAAGTAAGTCTAGACGAATTGAAATATAATCACCAAATGTTAAATATGTTAAGTGTGTTGTTGCTTATGGGACAACAAGCAGACATAACTAAAATTGTATGAAAAATGTATGAAATGTTGGATATTGGAAGTAGGTTATTCAAAAAAGGCGGCACAACAATTTGAAATTAAAATAAAAAGTAATAGACTGATTTTTCATAAGAAACCCGTGCGATTACAGCATAATCAGTTTGTTCTTAAATGAGCTTCACTTGAGCATACAGCTTAGTGAGTTTTCTGTTTTAAAAAGTGATTACCCGAGTTACAAGGACTTATCAAGAACAAGAAAAAAAGAAGATGACAACAGCAAACGACTTGCATGAAGTGCAACAACAGCTGCCGCACACAATAACAACGTTGAATGTTGCCATGCCATAAAGACGAGAAAACTCCTTTGTTTTCTTTTCATTAACGCAACGCAATGTATGAGAAGGCTACTAATTGCAATCAAGATAACTTCAACTTGTTGCAGTGCTTGCTCCGCTCTGCTCTGCTTCTTGCGGCGGTCACAAAAGCTCGCATCAGTATCGGCAAAGACATCAGAAACAATTGCTAAACGAACATTTATTCCTTTTTTTTATTTTGCTCTTGACCATTCGTTTACTCTTCTATTGAATAATTCATTGAATGGGGGAGTTGACGCTTTGTTTTTTGGCAGTCAGTAAGCAATCAGCTAATTAAGTTGCGGCTACAAATTGATAGTTTCCATTTTGACTCTTGCCTAATCTAAAGATTCCTTATTGGTCCTTTTAGATGCAACGTTGCTGCTCCTGTAATTGCTACCGATTAGTCTGAATGAATACTCATCGCTTCGTTTGCCAACCGAGTTGGATGTATATTGCGACTGTTATCGATTTTCAAACACTACCGTGATTAGTAATGTATATTACTTGTGTTATCGACATTTCTATCACTCCTCTCCATATCCATCTCTATTTTTCGGTCGACAAAAACTGCTTAAAGACGTGAAACAGCTCGATTTAAAGTTATTTGCTTAAAAGTATGGCGAGCCTCTTATTCTCCGATCTCCTTGCCACAGCCTGGCCGATGGGAAGGCAGCGGTCAGAGCATTGCATCAGGAGCAAGAACATGCTCGGCGACTATTTATATCATCCATCTGCGCGAGGCTTTGTGGACGTGAGGAGTGTTATGATTTAAGACACAGTCATTACCACCTACAAAAAAAAGAAAAAAAGTCGAGTTGCGGAATCAGGACTGTCTCACCAGGTTGTGCACGCTTGGCACCTGAAAAAGGCGCACAGTGTGCAGAAATTCTGTCCAATTCTGCATTTAAGTCTGAAACTGAAGGAACCGCTTTGCTAGACTTAAAAGGGCAGCAAAACATCCATTTACCTTGTGAGTATTGGAACTGTACATTAAACATAATGATGAATTCACATAAATTCTGGAAGGATTTATTAGATACATGTGAGTACTATATAATATTTATTCATACCAGTTTTATTCGAATGAAATTAGCAATGCCATTTTAATAATTAAATAAATACTTGTATATTTCACTAAATGAGAGGCAAACAAATAATGTTGCTTCGCCTGCTTAAAACTATAAAAGGTTTATTTAAAGACCTAACGACTAGACCAAAAAAAAAGGAAAGCAAAATGGAAAAGGAAAATAAGTTGAGTGGGACAAATGTAAAATATTTCGTCGCCAGAAGCTGGGCAAACATCAACAAGCAGTCGGCGCCAAAAGCCAAACGTCCTTTTTATTACCTTTGTCAAATGCACAAATAGCTGAATCCTCCCCCAACAAATTTACACATTTTGTTGTAGGCAAAAAAAGAAAAAGAAAAAAAGGGTAATTCCAAAGGTAGATCCGGCCGTGTCCTTTGCCGCTCCAATTTCGGACTGCGTGCGGGTGCTCAGGCAAATATTCAAACGTCTAAAAGTGTACAATAAAATATTATATCGTAATAAAAAGCAAGCACACGGCAACGAATGCTCGAGTGACTGCAGAGTGTTAGGTGTGGGGCGGTGGGTGGTGTCGTTATCATGCGATTGAGCAATACTTTCGTGTAATATTTTGCTAGCCTGCCGACAAGCTGAGAGGATAAGAGTTGCCTGCGATTGCCACACACATACACACACCCCAACACAGACACGCATGGGAAAATTGTCGCAATGCCTCAAGATTTATAGCAGATTTATCGATGGCTTTAGATGTAGCTGCAGCTGTGGCTGCTGCTGCTATTCTTGCCATTGTTTTAACAAGCTGTTTGACATGTGCATATTACGTATACGCACTGCTGGAGTGCTAAACGATGTCCTTCAATGAGTTTACTTATCAGGTAGGGATCTATTGCTAGCAGCAAAGGGATATTGTGTTTTTTTAACTATCCGATAAAAGTAAATTTTGTTGAGATTTTGCCCTACCTTTAGGGATTTGTATACTTTATGTCTTATTTGGGTTCAGGTGTAGTCCCTGTTAGATGTCTACTAAAACGATAGGAAAACAGCACATTTTATATTAGTAAAAAAGTTTGTCAGTTTTAATAAAAGTAGTTGTTGATTGGGCAGCTTTGCAGCTTTTGCGGTGAGTTAGCGTCGAATTTTGGTACTTGGTATCGGAAAAGGAATCGGTCACTTTTAAATGCATTTATTTATGTTTTTTATCACAAAACTAAATAAATTTAAATGCAGAATTGCAATAAATTAAATTATTTACTATCGTTATTCATTTATTTTTTAATTTAAATTTATAATATGGGTAAACCAAGGGGTTAAAATATTAGGTTTTCACCATTCCATAAATATCTAAATTTAGGGATGATGGCCCCGAAAACCGCATATACACGATTAAAGCCTATAGTTTCTCCTAGCCAACTGTGAAAATTTGATTAAAATCGTTGGTACCATTTTTAAGATATTTGGAAAAGAGTGCAACAACCCCAAAGTCAGCCCCATATAAAATGACCGCAAAAAATCAACCTTGTTTTCGAGCCCTTATTTCTTAACTCAGAGACAATGGCCCTCAATGCACGGTATACCCTCTTGTAGATACATATTTCAGGAAGCTATAGGCACTAATTTTAAGTAAATGGACGGTACAGATTTTGAGAAAATTAATTAATTGTAAACCAACCTCATATTCATTAAAAAGTCTATCGAACTGCTAGTTCCTACGTGAACTGAATCCCTGCCTGGCATCAGTGTTGAACAATTTTGTGCAGAACTGAGCGGGAACCAATTCAATTTGAATTATATGTAATCATGAAAAAATGGAAAGGACTCACAGTAAATTAAATTAATAAGTCAAAGCAAATTATATGAGAAGTACTAAGTCATACTTAATAGCGCAGTTTATGGAAAAATTGCATTTTTCCATTTTTTTTCTTTACAAAAAACATGCTGGCAATATTATATATCATACTGTTAAATGGCAACCATATATTAAACCCTATTATTTAATTTCTCCGAAAACGGCCCCAAATGCACGGTAGTTTAACATATAGATCGCGAATTTTGCTTTTTACATCAAGAATATCGTCCAGCCAGTTTTTGAGAAATTCGCATTTTTCTTTTTTTCTTATTATACCTCGTGTTATGCAAAAAACTAGCTGGCAACATTGCATCCTTAATATATTTATGTTAGGGGCTGCCAACTTATAAAGAATGCAAACATAAAGATGTAGAATGTTTCAACATTAATAAAGTATATTTATTTAATATAAATATTATGATTACATACTATTGCCCGTGCATTTGGGGCCGTTTTCGGAGAAATTAAATAATAAAGTTTAAAATATGACTGCCATTTAACAGTATGATATATAATATTGCCAGCTTGTTTTTTTTTCATTAACATAGGATGTTATGAGAGAAATAGAAAATGAGAATTTCTCAAAATCTGTACCGATGATTTTAATGAAATAAATAGCAAACTGATTGATAAATCGTGCTCTATATGCTTCTTATTTTTGTAATTTCGTTTCGCTTCTGTAGACAAACCAGTATCGTAACGTGTTGCGCTTTGTTCACATACAGAAACTAATCCAACCTGCTATATAAATAAATATTTATATGATGCATATATATGAATATGTATTTATACATATATATTCAATATATCTATATGCTTATATCTAGACATTGTTCGCAAATTCTGAATGAATGACAAACAACTGGCAGCATGTTTTGAAAGTGAAATTTATTGTATAATAATATAATAATATAATTTTTATTTATTTTTTAGTTTTTGATTCATAAAAATTTTTATCGCATAAAAGTGCATACAAAATATTTTTCTTTTGTGTTCGGAAAAAAAGTTTTTCTCTGAATTTTCCTCTATCAAAAAGAAAGCGTGACGTCACGCCTACACACACACACACACACACACACACACAAATGCCCACAAAAAAGAGAGATAGATAAATGAGTGAATACACCGGATACAAGATATATATAAAAATCAAAGCTCATACAAAAATAGTTGAAGAAACGTTTCCTAAAGTAAGTCTAGAGAAGTGTGCATTTAATCGCCGAACAGCTTCTTGCCCAGATCCATCATCCTGTGGTTGCGGCAAACGCGCAGCGCATCGGCCTTCTTCAGGACGGCCACAACATCGGCATTGACATCCACCAGCTGGGAGAGGAAGTCCTCGTAGGCGGACTTCACGTTGGCAGGCAGCGTGCCGATCTTTACCTTTTTTAGCGTCTTCACAATGCCCTCAGCCCAGCCGGACTCGAGGGCAAACTCGGATAGCCAGGGCACCAGGGGCAGCACACCGCACATGGTCTGCATGCCTAGGAACCAGAGCTCCGAGATGTCCGACCAGTAGCCCTTGTAGGCAATAGACACCACCAGAGCTGTGGGATCGTTGCTCTCATCAATGTTATACGCATCCCAGAGGAAGCGTATGGTGGCCTGTATGTAACGGCAAATGGAGAAATCGTTCTGTTTGACCTTCTTGGACTGCTGTTTGAGCAGCAGCAGGCCGAGCACAGCCAGATTGCCATGGATGACCAGATTATCGGGTGTATCCTTCAACTCGGGCAGATTCTCAACAACGAACTTCAGCAGATTGACAAAAGTTGGCGCGTCCTCGGCCCGTTTCGGCTCCAGAACCGTAAAATTCATGAGTATGTTGCACAGGGCGACAATGGCGCTGCGCGCCTCCTTCATCTGGGCTTGCTGCTCTGGCGTGGGCACCGGATCCGGTTCGTTCATGCGCTTGAGACGCTCCGCACGCGGAATTGGCGGGCGCTTCCAGTGCGCAATGCTAAAGTACAGCTCAATGGCCTCTAACAACACCTCGTCCTGCTTGTGCGTGAAGAGCACGCGACGTGCCTCATCCTCCACGGCAAAGTGGCACAATGCTGGCATCATGACGCGCAGTATATCGACGGGTGGGCTGCCCTCACGTGGACCGGCGCGCCAGGCTTTCAGCTCGTGAAAGCTCTCATTGCCAATCTTCAGTATGAAGGGCAGCAGCTTGTAGATGGCCGGTCGCATCGCGGTGGTCTCCTGGGCCAGCCAGGCGGACAATATGCGCACCGTGGCAATGATGAACTCCTTGTCGCGCACGTTGCCACTGTCCTTGATCTTGTCCTGGCTAACGCGCGTGAGCACGGCCAGCACTTGGTTGAAGGCGCCCTTCAGTGCCGTATAGGTGGTCTGCTTTTCCTTGGGCTCCATGTCTAGCTGATCGCTGGCCATATACTCAATGCATTGTTCTAGTATGACAAAGCAGCAGGTAAGTAGTTCCGCCTGCTTAAAGGTCGTCTCTAGCTTCTTCTCGTCCATCTGCATTCGCACCTCAATGGCCGCCAGCTGAAGAAGCATGAGGAAGAACTGTTTCTGATCGTCCATAAAGGCCCACTGCATGCCCAGCACCTGCAGCGTGGTGGCTATCAAATGCAGCGCCGGATCACGCTGTTTGGGTCCAATTTTGGCTTTCAGTATATCGCTGCAGCCCTTGAACAGGCTTTCCGGCCAGATCTGGCCCTCTAGCGAGTTAAGCACAATCTCACGCCGGCAGGTGATCAAAATATCGGCGAGTATGCGGCACAGCTCGTACTTGCGTTCCGTGTGATCCGTTTCCATGTCCAGGGCAATGCGCTGGATAAGTGCATGGAATGCCGTCGGATCCTCCGGCCAGGAGACCACGCCAAACTTCTTCACCAGCTGCACAATCAGATGCAAAGCCTCGTCCGTCTGGAAGCTCTGCGCCGAGTAAATTTGCGACATCTTGGGTATGGCGCCGGTGGCCAGAAGCGCCTGCTGGCCAGGCTCATAGCTGGCAATGCTCTTGAGGCAGCTGTAGGCCTCGCTCACCACAATCAGATTATCCTCGTAATCGGCATCATCCGCCTGCTCGACAATCTCCAGCAGAGTGGGTATTGCATCAATAATTTCCTTGTGCGTGGCCAGCTCCTCCTCCTGACAGAAGCCTGTCAGTATGGACAGGGCGACGCTCTTGTAGACCAGCGGCGGGCAATCGCTGGGCAAATCCTTGGACACAAGCAGCTTTCGCAGAAAAGGAAACCCAATCGCCTCAAAGAGCAGCTGCTTGCC